ACACGTTTTGGTATGATTGTTTCAGTTATGTGAGTGTATAAATTCTCTTTCTCTCTGTCTCTCCCTGCCCCCTCCCTCTCTCTCTTTCCTTCCTTTTCCTCCTTAAGCTATTTATGAGATCAGACAATTAAGTTCGTGAACTTGTCATCAAGTGCCTGTGTTGGCCGCACTGCACAAATGACTTGGTGAAGTTCTCCAACTTTAGTACATCAGAACCTCACAGCTGTGTGCACACTGATACATGGTGGTCTCTTGCTGAGTGGTGTTCATTATTGTTGTTGTGTGTTTTGGTGTGCCCTTGAGAGAATGTCGGAGCTTGAATTAGAGGAAGGAACAAACATTTGTAAATTTCTTATTGAACTTGGCAAAAGGTGGCAAGAGTGAAAGTGAAATCAGGGGCCTGTTACTGCAAGATTCTGGAGATGTTGCCACGAAGAAAACGGCAGTGTACAGATGGATGAAAAGTTTTTCTGAGAGGAGAGAAAGTGTTACTGGTGAGGAGAGGTCAGGGTGGCCATTAAGGATCAGAATTGACTAAGACATTGCAAAAATTTGCTGAAGTTTGTGCCAAAATATCTTTGGCTGACTCTTAGAAGCACAGCAGACCAAGTGAACATCGATAGAGAAGTGGTTAGGAAAATCTTAACTGAAAATCTTGATGTGAGAAAAGCGTGTGCAAAAAATGGTCCCAAATGAGCTCACTAATGAACAAAAGCAAAAGAGAGTCAAAGTTCGCCAAGACCTTTTGGAGGAAAGATGATGTTTTGGATTATGTTACCACTGGTGATGAAATATGAGTGTACCAATATGACCCTGAAACAAAGCATCAAAGTGTACAATGGAAGTCAGCCAATTTTCCATGACCCCCCAAACTCTGTCAGCTCAAATCAAGAGTCAAAACTATGTTGCTAAGCTTTTTTTGGTATAAGAGGGATTGTTAATTATGAATTTGTACCAACTGGACAAAAGTTAACTAAGTTAACTATTTGGAAGTGCTGAAAAAACTGCATAAAAATGTTAGATGAAAACTACCTGAACTTCTTACCCACAGCCCATGGCTCTTGAATCACAACAATGCACCAGTTCACACGGCTCTGTCTGTGAGAGAGTTTTTAGCTGGTAAAAATATAACTGTATTGGAAAACCCTCTTACTCATCTGATATGGCCCCCAATGACTTTTTTCTTCACCTAAAGATAAAGGAAATATTGAAAGACATTTTGATGACATTCAGGACATCCAAGATAATATGACAATGATGACAGCTCTTGATGGCTATTCCAGAAAAAGAGTTCTAAAATTGTTTCAAAGACTGGATTAGTTACTGGCACTGGTGTAGAGCTTCCCAAGAGAAGTATTTTGAAGGTGACTATAGTGACATTCAGCAACAAGGAATGTAGCACTTTTACTAGGATGAGATTGTGAACTTAATTGTCAGACCTTTGTCTGTTGGGTTTCTGCTACACGTGAAAGAATCCTGACTAATAAGGATCTGAAGCTCCATTCAGAAAGATCTCATCTTTAAGAAGCCCGCTCTTGGAGCCTTCTGAGGTTAGAGACCCCATAACTGCTTGCCTGCTCCACCCTCTGCTTCCCATGGCTGTGGGTTCACAGAAACACACACACATATACACATTACAGCTAAATAGCCCTTGGAGACTATCTAGTCTATCCCTCTCATTATAGAGCTAAAGAAACCAAGGCCTAGTGAAGGGAACTGTCTTGCCAAAAGTTATCCTATGAGTAGCGGTGGTGAGTGTAATTCTGGATCTCTGGATTCCCAACTCTGGGCTTTTCTCACTCTGGCTGGCATCTCTAACTCTTCACTATGTGGCTTCCCAGAGCACTCCAATCCCCAGCCCCTAGATCCAGGCAGTCACCTGCCACCTTTTGTAGCTGTTAACAGTCTGAGAAGATCACAAATAAATGAGTTGCAATGTCAATTTCATTCTCAGCACCTGCATGCCCTCAGCAGCTGCCCCAAGCAAATATCCTGCCCCATTCCCAGCAGAAGCTCCAAGCCCATTGCATGGGAACTCGCCCAGCCATCATCCCCCCAGCTTCTCCTCCTGTAGACTGTCTTCTCCTTAGAGCTACTTCTGTGCTCTGGGTTGCCTCACTTTTAAACTCCCGGGGACCTGACCTTGGGGATTCTCACTCCTTTCCTATATTCTCTATCTCTCCTCCAAAACACAGTGAAGATGTTTTTTCCTGAAAATCAGTTTCCATTTCCCTTTTTCCACTTCATTCCTTTTCTGCTCTCCCATAGCAAAGCTTCTGCAAGGAGGAGTTGACACTCAGTCCCCACATTTTTCATCCCCTTTGAAGCTGGATTCAGAGGATGCAAGTGCCATGCACTGTACAAACTTGGGAATAGGGGCCATTTGAATACTTATTTATTTATTTTTTTGAGGCAGAGTCTCACTGTGTTGCCCTTGGTAGAGTGCTGTGGTGTCATAGCTCATAGCAACCTCCAACTCTTGGGCTTAAGCGATTCTCTTGCCTCAGCCTCCCAAGTAGCTGCGACTACAGGTCCCTGCCACAACACTTGGCCATTTTTTTGTTGTAGTTGTCATTGCTGTTTTTAGCAGGCCTGGGCCAGTTTGAACCCACCAGCCCCGGTGTACATGACCAGCACCCTAACCACTGAGCTACAGGAGCCGAGCCAGACCATTTGACTGTTTAACAGACCTGGGATCATAGATGGAGAGAGAATGGCTCAGGGCCATAAATGGAACTTTAGCAGTGATGTTTACGTACACAGGAAGTCACTGTTTCTGAAATTGTATCTGATGCATTTTTCATCCCTTGGGATTTTCCTTGCCCTGTAGGTACCAAGAATGGTAAAGAATGGATGGCCTTGACTTTTGAAAAAGCAACGTAGAGACCAAGTCTGGAAATGCAGACTTTCATCTGAAGAGTCAGGCTTTGTGGTAAGAATAAACATTTGTAGATTTCAAAGAACCCAAACCTGGAGGACTGAGCATATCATTTTTACCATAAGCCATAAGGAAGGAAGGACGCAAGGGCTGGGTCCTGCATCTCAGGGAAGAGCTAAACAACCTTCCTGTGGAGAATGGGGCTGCAGAGAAAGGAGGGGGCCCTGAGGGATGAGGGAGGGAGCACAGAGGAAGAGAGACGTGTCAGACAAGCTCAGAGCCTGCCGCCTCTGCACTCCCTCAGACACAGTGAGGCTCAGCCCCTGTCCCGGGCACTGCCATCCAGGAAGTGTTTAACTGGACTTTCAAGCAGTACTGGACACTTTTTTTTTTAGTCTATATATTTCTTGGGGCCTCTCTTTTCTTCATGCCTTCCATGCTGGTGTTTCCCTTATTCAGCCCCTGGTCCTCTTTTCTTGTCTGCTGATGGTCAGTAGTTGATAACATCTCTCATGCTGATGAATTTCAAATCAGTGTTTTTAAATCTGCCCTGTCCTCTGAAATTCACTCTTCCTTGAGGTCTACTTAGAATTACAGCTAGACTGCTCATCAACTCTTCAAACACAGCAAACCAAGCCCTGCTCCCCTCCTCCCCTTTGTTATTCCAGATATCTGCTAATGTCTGCACCAACCACCTTCCTTTTCTCTGGCCCCCTGTGTTCAATCTGCCACTAAGCTGGTGGCAAATCACTTGTAGAAACAGAGAGTAAAGTGTCTCCTAACTCCACGACACAGTGCACTCTCCATGTAACTCAAGATGCCCCAGGGTCTGAATATGACACAATAGAAAGTTCAAATATCTAGACGAAAATGAAAATCACAAATGTAATGCAACATGAGACTCAATAGTCCTTGAAGCCAGCAACATATAAAATGCAATGCATAATTTATGCATCTTTTGGTTCTCAGTCATGTGAAAAGCAGGGCATTTTCATTAGGATACAAACCAAAAAAAAAGACAAATCAGAGTGTACCCTGGCAGCCTTACTCTCAGGTTAGCTCTGCCACCCGGGCACCCCCATGCTTGCACATTTTGAGAGTTGCTTATCGGCCAAGCCCTGTCTAATACACCACTTAAGTGCATTTAAATGCCCTGTGTCTGCACTGTCACAGCCCTAGGGCTGGTGGGTCTTTACCACCTCTCACCAGGGCTTTATAACTGGTAGTAGCTTCACAACTGCCCTCCCTCACTCAGCCCTCACCTCTCCACTCTCCATACTGGCACTGCCTGCCCTCAGCTCTGCTGTATCTAGCATCTCCAGTGGGGGAGATGCAGCAATTGGCATTTTTAACAAATCTCCCCAAGTGCTTCTGATTGATCGATCTCTCTCTCTCTATCATCATCTATCTATCACCTATCATCTATTTATCTAATCATCTATTGATCATCTATCTACCATCTATTATTTATCTATCTAATCATGTATTGATCATCTATCTACCATCTATTATTTATCTATCTAATCATCTATTATCTATCTATCTATCTATCCATCCTATCTCTATCTCCTAAACTTAAGAGAACTGGTTCCAGGACAGAGTCCAAACAGAATATGGCTCCTAAGACTGCTCACCCTCTAGCACCGCTGGCTGCTCGCACCCCAGTCCTGGCCTATCTTCCTGCTTCTACACCTGTGTCCACTCTGCCCCTTCCCTGTGCATCCCTTGAAGCCTCTGCAGAGCTATTCCAGTACTTTCTAGCTACATGAATCTCTCTCTGCTTTAAGTTCCCCAGATACTTCAACCTCTGCTCCTCTTATATTTAACTCCTCTGCTTATGAGAGGGTTGTGCACACAATCTCATCTGCAGGCTAGTTTGATATCGAGAACTTAACCAGCAGCACATAAAGGAAGTATCAAGCAGCCTCTGAGAAGGAGACAGCAGTGTACCAATTCCTTTCCTCATTACCTCTTCCTGGATGATGTCTGGGTACCAAAAGGTGTCCTTTTTCTGTAGCAAGGGAGATTTTGGCTTAATGAGGGAGCTTATTTTTTTCCCCCAGAAAGTCAAAATAAACAAACATCCTTCAACAACAATAAGCAAACACCCAAACCAAAGCTGTTGGTTATCCACAGAGGGTTTATTTCCACTTCAGACCCCTGGCAAGAGAAACAGAGAGCAGAGGCCCCTTACAGAGTGGTGAAGCACATGATATAAAACATACAAACTTCAGCATCCTCTATATGTGCCATTCATAGACATAGGAGTGTGTTCTGATGAACCAATGGGAAAGGGGACACTTCCCATTCTCTTGGAATCCCTCTCCCGGGGCTCCCTGGCTGCCTTTCTCTGATGGAGATTTCCGGGAGAGAGCACTTCCGGGGAAGGAGTGAGGCCCTTCAAACCTGTGAGAGCCAGGGAGAGGCTCCAGGCAAGCAGGGCAGCTCTGAGTGCTCGAGGGTCCCCAGATCTTCATTTTATTGATGAGGACACTGAGGCTCAGAGGAAGAAAATGATTTGCCAAAGGTTATACAGCCAACTGGGGGAAGACCTGGGGGTAGACCAGGACTCGACCCTCCATCTCTTTTCATCGCCTGTCATGGGTGAGTCTTTGCTGTTACCTGGAAAACAAAAAGTGGAACCCTCTGCACATCTGGCTGAGTGGATTCTCCAGGCTCCAGGGGTGCTGGGCCACCCATCAGGATTTGGGTGACCCCTTATGTCCCAAGTTCACCTTTTCTTCTATCTTTCTATCCCAAGCACAGCAGAACACAGTGTGGGTCTGCTCTTTTTCCAAGTAATCACCCAAGTCTTCTCGTCTGGGGCTGGAGCTTAGGTAGCCTTTTTAGATGACTATTCCAAGGCTGAAAAGTTGCTTTGTGCTTGTTCGGAGTAGCAGGTTGGATACCCTGTGGTGTCAGTTGGTATTCCAGAGTGGCATATGGGCCCAAATGCTGTGTTTGGACTCAACAGTAGGAATTTAAGGGGTTTCGAGGGCCTCCACTCATCTCAATCACCACAAACCTTCCCAACTTTTTCTTTGCCCTTTGAAATTCCTATAATAGGGAAAGTAAGGGATAGGGCTTAGATTGCAAGAAGCTTTGGGGAGAGAAACCCAAGGGACAAAAGTGCTTCAAAGCGTTATGCTAAGAGAGGGGCCTCCAGGCTGTCTCCCCAAACCTCCTAGGCATAGCTGGGAAAATATACAGATGTGGGGTTTAGTTCAATATAAGGAACCCTTTTCTGATAATCAGGTCCAAGCTCAGTTATACCAATAGTGAGACCAATGGGTTGGATAAATGGAGTGAATGGAGGCCACAGGGGCAAAGCAAGGCACAGCCCAGAGATGAGTGCCAGGGTTGGCCAAAAGGTGCTGGTCCAGCTCCCTCCATGGATTGCTGGGGACACAGAGGCCCAGAAAAGAGAAGGGACTTAAACAAGGTCAGTGGCTCAGGTCTCTTGCCTAGAGCCTTTTCCCTGCACCACACCGCTGCCTCTCAGGAGGATGGGCTCACTGCTAAGTCAGCGTGGTCCACCCTATTTGGCCTGGTCGGTAACATGGAGTGTGTTGTCGGAAGTGTATACGTAGCCTCACTCGGGCTGGGGCAGGGTAGACAGGCGCTGAGGACTCAGGTCAGCTCACCGCTCCACATGGAGCTCCCCCAGACTGGGTGGAGAGCCCATCTGCTCCCATACCCAGTCCACGTAGTTGGAGACCTTTGTGTACACTCCGTACACCTGCTTGCTGCCACATTCTTCAGGTCCCCCCCAGGACACCAGGCCTTGGGCCACCCAGTGCTGGCTCAAGTCATCAAGGATGATGAAGGCCCCACCACTGTCTCCAAGGCAGGTGTCCTTGCCGCCCTCGTAGTAGCCAGCACAGAACATGTTCTCCGTGACGCTGTAGTTGCCCGAGCGGGACTCATAGCTGGTTTTGCACTCAGCATGTGGCACCACGGGTAACTTGACGTACTGTAGGACATCTGACAGGGTCCGCGTGCCACTGCTGATAATCTCATCCACTGTCACGTTGGGATTGGAGATGCCCCAGCCGGCCACCAGGCCCAGCATGTGGGGGGCGGGGCCTTCAGGCTCAAGCCTGGGCAGGCAGATGGGCATGACGTGGGGCCCCAGGGGCACGGGTTCCCGCAGCTGCACTAGGGCTATGTCGTGGTTGTAGTTCTGGATGTTGAAGTCTGGGTGCAGCACCACCCGGGCGGCTGAGCTGTTGACAGCCTCTGATTTGTCCCGCACATCATGCAGGCCCAGGTAGACAGTGACGTGATCCTTGGAGACGGGTATCACTGTGTTGTCTCTACGCTGTGAGCGCAGTACGTGGGCTGCTGTGAGGATCCAGGACTCGGAGAGCAGGGCCCCACTCCCAAACCACTTGTCGTTTGGCACCCTCGAGGTGTCCTCCACCACTATCAGGGCCTGCCACGGGAAGAGGCCGGGCTCGGCATTGCGGCCGCCAATGATCCGCTTGACCAGGTTTGGCAGGGAGCGAGAAGGCTGACCACACACTGTAAGGAGAAGGGGGCAGTGTGGACAGGAGATAGAGATTGGTCAGGTCAGCTATATGAAAAAAGCCACTAAGAGAAATTCACATTTCACCCACTATAGATTATGCCACAGTGGGATCCTAACCTGACTGGGTCAAGCTAGACTGGGAGACCCCTGCCTGGGGTCATTTTGGATCTGTCTGTCCAGGGCAGCCCAGCTACAGTCTGGCACCTCTGTAGCTGTGGCTGTCTCTGGACTGGACTGTTTCATGCTTGGGTCTTCTCTGCCCTAAACCTTCTCTAACTAAGATCACTTTTGACCTGGACCATGTTCGGCTAGGCCTCTCCCTGGCCTTGGTCTCCCTTTCTTCCCTAAAAGGGTATTTCTCATCCCAGAAGAGGCCCACATGGTGAGGTCTTAGAAAACTTCTGAAAGTTTTCTCTTCCTGTCTATGAGCACAGCGAGGTAGAAGGAACGTGAAAGATACCCTAGCAGGCCACAGCAAACACTGGACCGGAAACCAAAACACCTAGTCTGTGACCTGGCTTTTCTGTTCTATTTTCTGTGTTACTCTGTGTCAATAAATTTCCTGGCTCGGCACCTATAGCTCAACTGGCTAGGGCGCCAGCCACGTACACCTAGGGTGGCG